CCGGGGGCCCGCGGCCCGACGGCCCAATGGCGGGGGCAGGGGCGCGGGGACGTGCGAGCGGCGAGGAATGTTCCCAGTGACTCACCCGCCAGCCTCATTGAGGTTAGGGCGGCCCCATCCGTCTGTCCTCGCCAGCGAGGATCTCCCCCGCCTCCGCCCCCGCCCCTCGTCTGCCTCCCTACCCGCTCCTCCGCCGGCGCTTCCCTTTCCTGCCCCTGCGCTCGGCTCCCTTTCCTCTCCCCAGTTTCCCTTCCTGCCCTTCCTTGTGCTCGCTCTTCCCGGCTGCTTGCCTTTTTTCCCTTTCTTTGCCTTGGCGTCTCGAGGAGGCTTTTGCACGTACACGAGCTGTTCATTGCAGCTTACATAAAGGCGCGCGCGATTATGCAGTTGCATTGTGAGCGGTATTTCTAGATTTCAGTACGGAGGGACCGTGCATTTTTTAAAGCAAGACTTGAGAATAATATACCTTGTAATGTAAAGAATGTTTTTTGGCATTTTTATACCATTTCTATTTTGACCAAAAGAATCTGGAGTTCTCTTGGTGTGTTTTAGTGGAAAATTTAAGAGATGATTGGTACCTTTTTATTTTTAAGTGAGTTCAAGGACCTTGGTATAAAATATCAAATACTAGATAGAAAGTGTACAAAGCAAGTGTATTTTGTCATCAAGCATTTCTTTAGGAAATCGAAACATTATATTTCTGCTATTGCAGATTCCAGTTAGGGTTTTTGCAGATTCCAAGTAGAATATTACATTTTCTCATCATCCTGTTTTTAGTATTACTGCATTAGCTGGTCCTCCTTATGCATAACAAACCATTGTGTGAAAGGGAGCTCAAATGCACTTGAGTAAAACTTCCCCCACATATTTCATTTGATCTCTATTTACCATAATCAAATTATCAAGTAATTTTTGATTTAAAATAACCTAATAGAACTTTGGCTAGAAAGAGACCCTGAGCATTCCCTTATCTTTTGATTCTATCCCAAAGTGCAAAGTGACTTTCTAAAGGTCAGCTGGGTATTTTCCAAAGCTCTGTCCACCACACATTACCTTTATAAGGAAATACTTACCTTTTTATTAGTAATTCTTACCTCAAAAGACCTCCTACCATACATGTAGTGTTGAAGAAAAGTATTATTTTCTTTGTGAACCCTTTCTTAGCCACCCTGTTGTATGTCGGTGGCTACTTAGAAAAGACTTAAAGACACTTTTCCCCTAAATATTAGAATAGGAGTAAGAGAAAAATTGTTTTACATTTTAACCTGGAAAGTTGTGCAGGTTGTAAAAATATATATTTGTATTTTACATTTCTCTATTAAGTGGATGGCAAAAAAACCTGCTCCTGAGCTTGACTCTCTTATTTTTATAGGAGGAAAGAATGGAAATGATTTCTGAAAGGTCTAAAGAGAATATGTATTCCTGGAACAAAGCTGCAGAGAAAAGTGATTTTGAAGCTGTAGAGGCACTTATATCAATGAGCTGCAGTTGGAAGTCTGATTTTAAAAAGTACATTGAAAACAGACCCGTTACTCCAGTGTCTGATATGTCAGAGGAAGAGAATCTGCTTCCAGGGACACCTGATTTTCATACAATCCCTGCATTTGTAAGTATTACTGTTTTCAAGATGGATGTGTGTTGTAGAATTTCTTGTAATTTACATGATGGACTCTACATTTCTCATGCTATGGCTTATGTATTTTTCTTCTCCAGTGCTTGACTCCCCCGTACAGCCCCTCTGACTTTGAACCCTCTCAAGTGTCAAACCTGATGGCAGCAGCGCCACCTACTGGACACTTCAAATCATTCTCAGATATTACCAAGCCTCACCTTGCTGCACCTTTCAAAGAGGAAGAAAAGAGCCCAGTATCTGCTCCCAAACTCCCCAAGGCTCAGGCAACCAGTGTGATACGCCATACAGCTGATGCCCAGCTGTGTAACCACCGGTCCTGCCCAGTGAACGCAGCCAGCACCAACTATCAAGACAATTCTTTTCGAAGAACACACCTAAATGTTGAGGCTGCCAGAAAAAACATACCATGTGCTGCTGTGTCACCAAACAGATCCAGTCGCGAGCAGAACACAGTGGCAGATGTTGAGGAGAAAGCAGGGGCTGGACTTTATGACTTTCCTGTGCCTTCCTCAGAGACAGTCATCTGTCAGTCTCAGCCAGCCCCTGTGTCCCCACAGCAGAAGTCAGTGTTGGTCTCTCCACCTGCTGTGTCCCCAGGGAAAGTGCCACCCATGCCCGTCATCTGCCAGATGGTTCCTCTTCCTGCTAACAACCCTGTTGTGACCACAGTTGTTCCCAGTACTCCACCCAGCCAGCCACCAGCCGTCTGCCCACCTGTTGTGTTCATGGGCACTCAGGTGCCCAAAGGTGCTGTCATGTTTGTCGTACCCCAGCCGGTCGTGCAGAGCCCAAAGCCTCCAGTGGTGAGCCCAAACGGCACCAGACTCTCTCCCATTGCTCCCGCTCCTGGATTTTCTCCCTCGGCAGCAAAAACCACTCCTCAGATTGACTCATCGAGGATAAGAAGTCACATCTGTAGCCACCCAGGGTGTGGGAAGACGTACTTTAAGAGTTCTCATTTGAAGGCCCACATGAGAACACATACAGGTACCAACCATTGCTTGTTTATGTGTTTAAGTGAAAGTGTCAATGAGTTTTTAACTGTGATCGCAGATATAAACCAGGCATTAAGGGAGAACTTGGTGGTTAGCCAGTTTAGTGGCTGATGTTTACCAGTGCAAGGTCTTCTGAAAGGCTTCTTCAAGGTGCTATTGTTTCAATCTCTCAAATGGTGATACTTTAGGGAGGCCAGCAGGTGGTGTAGTGATTAAGTCACCAGACTCCCACATGGCTGACTGTGGTTTGAGTCCTGGACCTGGCAACTTGAAAATCATGTATGCGTACAGAAAATCCCAGGAGGCAGATGAAAGGAATGGATTGCGGCATGGCCATCCCTTCTGGGGAGTGATTTCTCATTTTGCTTCTAACTCTTTAAGACCTTTGAACTACTGTTGTGGTCAGAAAGTATTTAATTTTGGTCTCTTTTAGTATAAGGGGTAAGGTTTTCATAAATGTAGTACAGTAAAAGTTGAAAATGGAATAGTGTATATCTAGTACTCATTTGGCAGTTGTCTAATATTCTAGCTTTTATTTATCAAGTGTTATTTTGCATACCTTTAGATATAATTGAACATACAGTTTATAGCAGTTTAATAAGTACATAGAATTGATGATTTGAATTTCTTCGTTTTAGGAGAAAAGCCCTTCAGCTGTAGCTGGAAAGGTTGTGAAAGGAGGTTCGCCCGTTCTGATGAACTGTCCAGACACCGGCGAACCCACACAGGTGAGAAGAAGTTTGCTTGTCCCATGTGTGACCGGCGGTTCATGAGGAGCGACCATTTGACCAAGCACGCCCGGCGCCATCTATCGGCCAAGAAGCTACCAAACTGGCAAATGGAAGTGAGCAAGTTAAACGATATCGCTCTACCCCCAGCTGCTGCTCCCACGCAGTGACAGAGCGGGGGAGAGTCAGAGCTAACTTTGGTTGCAGCCAGGAGCCAGCGGTGACGTGAACGTGCTTCCACTGCAAGTCTGTGGTCCTCCAGTGCGGGCTGAAAACAGAAGCCCCAGCCTGAGGTGAAGGCCCAGCCCGGGCTAAATGACAAGAAGTGCTTCGGCCACAGGCAGGTCACAGAATGGCAGGTTTCATTTCTTATCACATAAGAGAGATGAGAACACTTTTATTCCTTTGAATATATTTTGAAGGTTTCAGATGAGGTCAACACAGGTAGCACCAATTTTGAATTTGTGTGCATATTTGTTACTTTACTTTTGCTGTTTAAACTTGAGACCAGCTTCCAATGTGATGCTTCTAAAACACTGGTTTCAAGAACGTGGAAACGAACATTACGGTACAGAGATGGAAATGTAAAAATCACTTTGTATTATGACAAATATTGTCACCTTTTCCTAGAGTTATCTTGTTTACTCTTCCTCGTCTTTCCAGTCAGCTTGGTGGAAGTAGTTAAATAGATCTAGAACTATCATTTTCACACTATTGTCGACACTTGGAATTTAACAGCTGTATATTGCTAAAGAGGGCCCCCAGAATAGGAATCCTCATTAATTTAATTGCCTTGAAGTGTACCTACAATTATTTTTTTTTTTTGCATTTTTGTTTCAAAAGTTTAACAAATGACTGTATCTAGGCATTTTATTATGCTTTGAATTTTAGTTTGCCTGCAGCTTTTTGTGTAGATTAGAAATTGTAGATCAATGTGTTTTCTGTAGACTCTTAAGATACACTGCACTTTGTTTAAAAAAAAATCTGAGGATGAAAATATATTGTAAAGAAGGGATATCAAGAATTTTAGATAACTCCTTGAAAAAGATGGCTTCTGTCATTAGTAAAGTAGCCCTGTGCTATGAGGACATACTGTGTGCTTTATTGAGTTAAAGTTAGTGACAGTTATTCACAGATGGGACAAGTGTGGTCCTGGTAATTTATATAGGAGAGGTTTGGGGGATTTGGAAATAGGTGGGTAGAAAAAATATTATTAGAACATTTGCTTTTGTTAACAGTATTTCTGTTATATTCTGTTGTATAGTAGATGATATACACAGTGGTAAAACAAAAACAAATTGTTTAAAATATCAACATATAGTGAGAAATGTCACTATATCTTCCCATTTAACATTTTTTCTGTATATGGGGTATAGATTTCTCACACCAAAACTTGGACTCTTGGAAAACAAAAGTTTTCTTTTAATTAAAAAAAAAATCCTCATGACTTACCGTTTGCACAATATTTCTTTTGTTGTACTTTATATCTTGTTTACAATAAAGAGTTTCCTTTGGTATATATACTTGATTGACTGCATTTATTAAATACCATCCTCTTACTTCAGCTCAGATCACTTTTACTATTCAATAGTGTTGTGTCTGGGGGACCAGCAGTTAGCGTAATGGCTACGTCACTGGACTCCCACGTAGTCGACCGTGGTTCAAGTCCTGGACCCGGTGGCTTAAACTCACGCCGGGCGTGTGTGCATGCGTGCCCAAGATCCCAAGAGGAGAATGGAGGAGAAGGGATTGTGGTGTGGCCATCCCCCCTGGGGGGTGATTTCTCACTTTCTGTCTCCCTGTCTCTCTGTCTCTCTGGCGAGCGCATGTGCCCTTTAACAAAAACCTCTCCTCCCCGCAAAAAAAAAAAATAATAGTGTTGTATCTGGGTTTTCCCTGGAGTCTCATTCACATTTAGAGCTGTAGGAGTATTCCTTTTTTTTTTTTTTTTCCCTGAGAGATTCTTGCTGTAGGGTGAGTGCACTTGCCAGAAAGTCAGAAAGCAAGAAGTCACCCCTGGGAAGATGGCCACACTGCAATCTCTAATCTATTTCCCTCTTCAAGTTTTGGACACATGTACGCATGCACCCAGTGTGAATTTCAACCTGCCAGGTCCAGGACTTGAACTGTGGTCAAGCACATGGGAGTCCAGTACCTTAACAACTATGCTACCTGCTGGCTCTGCAGGAATATACCTTTAACACAAGTTTATTTAGAGTGTACAAATGAGACCAAATAGCTACATATTTGTTGTGATGTGTGAGCCAGCCAATTCCAAGAAGTTGACACATTTTAGTTTTTTTATATTCTTATGCATTATTGGTAATTTGGGGTCAAAATCATAACTGGTTCTTAGCAAAACCTTAGATAAGAGGCATTTAAGTTCATGAAACTGCTGTGGCAATTGGAAGGAAGGCTGACCTATTTAGAGTAAATTGCTCTCCTCTAAAAGTTAAATTAGCTGAGATCATTTAGTGATACCTTAAATACAATAAACATTGGTACTTCATGCTGCATGAAAGATAATCCTCTTCTGAAGAGAAACTTGTTTGTCGTTATTTACTCATTAGTAAAAAAATAAAAGTGCAGGAACTGTAAGTGCTGCTTGGTATGTGAACTAATTTTGTAGATGACTATTTTAGTTTGCTCTGAAATCAACTTGCAGTCATCAGCACCTTTCACAATGTCCAACTCTAGTGACCTAGAGTCTGGCTTACTGTTGAACACTGATAAGGGACACTGTCCGTCCTTGGTACCACTTCTGGGACAAGTGTCTCTAGAGTCATCTGTGCACCTGTTGCCACTTTTCTTGGAAACATCATACCACGTAAGTATGACACTGCTGCTGGCGAGAAGAGGGAAGTCTTGCAGCTTCTGTGTTGGGAACCTAACCCCTAGGAGTTCATGGTGGCAGGTCTCCAGAAGCAGAATGGGCAGTGCTGACCGAAGTGTCCTCTTACCTATCCCAGAACCCAGTCCCTTGTGATGGCATGTTCTGTTCTTCCTAGTCCAAGGGAAATGTTGTAAATAATCAAATAGTTACTCATTTTGAGTTGGGTCATGGCAGACTCTGGTGTTAAAAGAAAAAGTTGCCATCGAGTTTATTTGTAGTGTGATGATAATACAGAATTAGGATAGCATTGGCATTTTGATTTTGACTCTTACCTGACATGAACACAAAATTTCTGACATTCTGCTGTCTTCTATCTTTTTTTAAAAAAAATGCCACCTGTTGGGACCAGCAGTTAGCGTAATGGCTATATTGCTGGACTCCCATGTAGTCGACCGCGGTTCGAGTCCCGGACCTGGTGACTTAAACTCATGCCGAGCACGTATGCGTGCGTGCCCAAGATCCCAAGAGGAGAATGGAGGAGAAGGGATTGCGGTGTGGCCATCCCCCGGGGGATGATTTCTCGCTTTCTGTCTCTCTGTCTCTGTCTTTATGGTGATCGCACACGCCCTATAGCAAAAACCTCAAAAAAAAAAAAAATTGCCACGTGTACTTGCCAGAGAAAAAGCACCCTTTCCCCAGTGGACCATGGTCACGCCCCATTCCTTTTTCCTACATTTCTCTCTCTCTTTTTTTGAAGAAGTTCAACACAAACCACGGTCGACTACATGAGAGTCCAGCAACATAGCCATTACGCTAACTGCTGGTCCCCTACATTTCTCCATCCCACCAAGATCTGAGGCATGCACATGGGCCTGGCATGATTTTCAAGCCAACAGGGCTAGGATTTGAACCATGGTTGGCCACATGGGATCACTTAAGCACTGTGCTATGGGACTGGGACTGGTACTCAGCATCTTTTTTTTAAATGTTTTTGCCACAGGGCAGTGTGCTCCCCAGAGAGAGACAGAGACGGTGAGAGGGAAAGTGGCCCATCCCCAGGAGGGATGGGCACACCACAATCCCTTCTTCATTCTCCCAGGATTTTGGGCACGCACGCACACATGCTCAGTCTGAGTTTCAAGCTGCCAGGTCTGGGCATTGCGCCACGGTTGGCCATGTAGGAGTCCAGCACTTTAACCACTACACTCTCTGCTGGCCCCCAGTATCTTTTAATACAGTTAAGAGAAAATTAAAACAAGGAATTTCTGTTTATTGCTATCTAGCTTCTCCTTATGATACCATCTTACATAGCTATAGAACATTTGTCAAAAGAAATGAACCTTAGTACAATACTAATCAAAGTACAGGATTTATTTGGATTACACTAGTTTTTCCACTTTTTTTTTGTTTGTTTTTTCTATTGCAGGATCTAGTCCAGCATCTCAAATTCCATTTAGTTGTCACGTCTCTGTAGTCTTCACTGCAGTAATTCCTCAGACTTTTCTTGCCTTTTGAACAACGCTTGTCAGTTATTTTGTAGAATGCCCCTCATTTTGGGTTTGTCTGATGTTTTTTCATGATTGGTTTGAGGTTGTGCATTAATTGGGGAAGAGTGATAGAACGCTTCTCATTGCATCATACCAAAGGTGATGTTTTATTTATTTATTTAGAGATTTTTGCTAAGGGTGCGTGTGCTTACTAGAGAGACAGACAGAAAGCAAGAAATCACCCCCCCAGGGGGATGGCCATGCTGCAATGCCTTCTCCTCCATTCTCCTCTCAAAATCTTGGGCATGCAACTCCTGGGATGAGATTTAAGTCATCAGGTCTGGGACTCAAACTGCAGTCAACTATGTGGGAATCCAGCAACATAACTATTACACTATCTGCTGGTATCAGAAAGCAAACCACCAGGTCTGGTATGTGAACTGTGGTCGGCTATGTGGTAGTCCAGCACCTTAACCACCATGCCACCTGCCAGCCCAAGGTGATGATTTTAATGCATCAGCCCAAAGTTCGTATGTTGAAAATTTTATCCCATTGGAATCATGTTAAGAGATTGAATCTTTGGGATCAGCAGATGGTGCAATGGTTATGTTGCTGGGCTCCCATGTAGTTCACTGTGGTTCAAGTCTTGGGCCCAGTGACTTAAACCAGGCACATGTGCGTGCATGTCCAAGATCCCAAAAGGAGAATGGAGAAGGGATTATGGTGTGGCCATCCCTCTGGGAAGTGATTTTTTGCTTTTAGTCACTGTCTCTTTGGCAAGTGCATGCACCCTATAGCGTAAATCTCTCGGAAAAAAAAAAAATAATAAATAAATAAATAAATAAATATGCGGCCAGCAGGTGGCGTGGTGGTTAAGGGTGCTGGACTCCCACATGGCCAACCGTAGTCCGAGTCCTCAACCTGGTGGTTTGCTTTCTCATTTTCCTTTCTCTCTCTCACTCTATCCCTCTCTGGTCAAATTAAAAATAAATAAATAAATAAATAAAGTTAAATAAAATAATTATTGAAAAATGAATAAATAAAAAGAGAGGCTAAAATTTTTTGAGAGGTTTTTGCTAGAGGGCGTGTGCACTAGCCAGAAAGACGGAGAGAGACAGAGAGACAGTGAGAAATCACCTTCTAGGGGAGATGGACATACTGCAATCCCGTCTCCATTCTCTTCTCAGGATCTTGGGCACGCACGCATACGCACCCAGTGTGAGTTTAAGCCACTGGGTTCAGGATTTGAACTGCAGTTGACTACATGGGAGTCCAGTGACATAGCCATTACGCCATCTGCTGGTCCCAGAGAGAGACTGAATCTTTAAGAGGTGACTAGGTTGCGAAGGCTTTGTCTTCGATCGGCTAATGTAATCATGGGAGTAGGTTCAGTGATGCTAGTGTGGG